ACAATGGTTAGCCCAAGATGATGGAGTCAAGCTGTTTGGACAGGAATGTGATTGGGCATGGGCTATGGCCTTGTGTCAGAACTCCTACTGCACATCCACTGTGGTCTACTGTATAGAGTCTGAAGGGCTAGGTGAGATCTGGAAAGACCAAGTAGGGGCTTTCTTTAGGGCTTCTTTTAAGGACTGAAAGGATAGGTGAGGGAAGGTTTTGTGATTTAAGGGCTCAGTGGGGTCTCCCTTTGTAAGTTTGTAGTGGTGACTAGTGAGGTGAACAAATCCAGAAACCCAGGGTTGGAAATATTCTATTATGCCAGAAAGAAGAGGCGCTGTTGTTTGGTGGTGAGAGTTGGGATCAAGAAAATCAAGTGGATGTAGTCTGGAGGTAGGGCTCTGGCACATCTGTGGGGAATGATGCCCAGATAGTGACAGACAAGGAAGAAATTTGGGCCTTAGATGGAGAGACAGGATAATCCCTTTGAATCCAGATGTTGTTTATTCAAGGTTGATAGGGCCTCCAATCACCTGACCTGTGCCAAAAGGAAAACAAAAGACAAGACAAGATCTTTCCTACATAAATGGGGGTCCCAGGGTGATTGGAGCTCTTACTAGGTTAAGACACTCTCTCCTGGAGCTTTATTTGAGCAGGGTCGTAGCAAAAGAGAACAAGACATGCTATTAGGAACAGACCTTTGATTAATAGGAAATTTGTTTTTTCCCATAGATTAATTTCTGTCTCTATAGAAGTTTTGTGTATGAGAAAAGTTGTTAGCCATCCAAAACATCACAGCATCACAGGTCATTGAGATCTATACTGTAACCAGTAACACACAGAGTTATTTCTTTCCCACATGCCATCTGCTGCCTATTCAAACAAGGCATTGCAGGCTAATAGGCAGACTTGGACTTTTAATAGAAGCCAATTTATAAATTTATAACTAACTCAGGGTGGTCTCCATCAGTTGCAATACTATAAGGGTGTCTTTATAGGATGCCTCATAGGAAGTTCTGCAGAAGAGATCATCTCCATAATGCATGAGGAGGAGGGGTGAAAAGAAAGCAAGGCATGGGCAAAGGCCTAACCAAAGTGGTAGGGGTCATCCCAGAAACCCTGTGGCAAGATTAGTTGTTGGGACTGGTGAGTTTGTTCAGGTGAAGGCAAAGAGAGAATGTGAAGAGGGGTACAGAGGGATATTGAAAAGAGAATCTTTCAGGTCTAAGAGTCATGAGTGGTAGACAGTTGAATGGAGGACAAAAGCATGTAGGGGTTAGTCACTATGGGATGTATGGAAAGGACTGTCTGATTAATAGTGTGGTAAGAGCCTGGAAGAGCCATATGCCCTTTATACTGGGAGAATAAGGATGTTGTATGGCGAGTTTGGTAGATATTAAAAAGCTGTGTTGCAAATAGGCAAGAGATAACAGGTTGCAAGCCCTGAAAAACCAGATAAGGGGTGGGATATGTTCATTGGGCAGGGTAGGGTTGGTTTGGCTTGAGAGGGATATTAAACATTTGTTATGATGAAGCCAGGGACAGGGTGGAAGTATTCTAAACTCTGAGATTAAGATGAGGAGAGATGATGGGAGCTGCTGGGTGGAGGGGGAGAAGGAGATAGTAGGGTAGTTATAAGAGTTAACTATATCCTGGGAATGGTCAGAGCAGCTAAAAACTTGGTTAAGGTGCCTCACCATAAAAAGGAAATAATACAGGTGTGTGTGGGGGAGTGACTAAGAATGAGTGTGGGAACCAATTGACAGCAGATTGGGAGAGTTTTTAAAGGTCTGGGGACTTTGCTATTAATGCAAAAAAAAAAAAAAAAAAAAAA